TTTCTTGCTCGCACATTGTGGAAAACCAAGTTGGTTGATGACAAAAAAAGTATATTACTTAAAAGTACACCGCAATTAAACTCCAGAACGATCTCTTAATGTGAAAGCAACTTAATTAGCATCATCCTGTTTGGCATGTGAAAAGTAAAACGTCTTTAACACCGACTTACAGGCGAATGGCTTTGACGCAGAATATGGTACTGCCAACAAATCCTTCAAACTTGGTTAATTCGCTTTTTAATGCTCTCAAGCTCTCAGACAAATTTGAATGCATTCATGAAATTAAAGTAGGTCCTCATCCTTGAAAACTGACATCTTTTTACACTTAACCCTCTTCAAAACTTATCTCTAACCAAACAGGGTGCTTTGAAACTCCTACAAACCAAGACAGATTTAATGAGATAGAAGAAACGATTGTGAATAGAACGAAGGGGTGAAAAAGCTTTAATAAGAAAATTCTCGAAATTTTACAAGCTTTTCTATTGGGAGCTTTTGACTTCCCTGTTCAAGTTGCATCTTTGAGGGATTTTTTCTAAAAGTGAATACCTAGCACTGGGAGCGGGGTCTAAATGACTGGCAACGATCTTCAGAGTCGAACGGTGCATATTGAATTTCCCTCTTGTTGATATTCAATTAGAAACAAAGGATACCCTTCTGAAATAAACGGATTCAAAGTTGAGTATATTCAACTATTGTAAATATTGTTGGTGATGATGAAATAAAAATAAAGCATATGATTTCTGATGGAGATTACTGACTTGTTCATCATATTGAGTCTTAGCACAATGATTTTACTTTCAGAACCGCATCAACGAACAAATTGGTTAAAAGAAGACTGGAAGAAGTGCGTTGTATCAATTCAGATTCTTCTTAAAGAATTCTCGGAATAACCTCTCATCTCTGCATGCATATTCAAGATGATTTAAAACGGGTGAAAATACAAAGCTCATGCAGGACTAGTAAGGTAGGGGGGGGGGCACATCTTCAGAATGGTTGAAACATAGATAGATACTACGAATTATTGCTTACGTTATGACAACCGCGATATGAGTTCATGAGTAAAGAGACTTATCGACCGATCAATAAACAGTTATTACATTGCTATGATACCCGAAGATGTATGTAATGATAAATCAGGATTTATATTTGTCACCAGTTCCGATTTGTGACCCTTCAACATTAAGTGATAGTTATCTCCAAATACAATATGGCTTTCAAGAACTGTGGGGAAATGTCCTGTTTCACAAAACAATGTAAATTTTTTTGTTAATAAAAGAAGTTTAAACCCGGGTTCGATCGTTTTAAGGAAAACATTGATGTGATCTGATATAAAAGACTTTAATAAATTAGCAGAATAAATATGAATATTAATGTCACTCGTAATCACCTTTCAACTTCACTGACATGCATTAAAATATAAATACGTTATGAAATGGAATTTTATGAACATGTATTAACAAATTAAAAGGAAATTGTATTTTAACCAGTAAAGGCTGCTAACCTGATTTCCGTAATCATTCCGAGCTGATAGATCGACATTGCTGCCAAATTTGCTTCTCCTCTTTCGGCTGGAACAGTAGTAAAAATTTATGCTTTAAGTTCATGCAAATTTCAGCTACTTTAAAGGATTAATTAATACAATTATCCTTAATCAACATCACATGGTCTTTTAAAAATCATTACTTAAAAATAAGCGACATAAAAGCATTTCACTTCTTCCCAGTTATTTGTCACTTTCCTGGAATAATTTTGTTTACTCATGCTAAAAGAGTAGTAAGTTTTTTATCTGTTTACTTTTGACTTGCAGTATTTAGCTCAAATTTAAAGGAATTATGGATAAAAAGTAGAACTAATTGAGTAAGTAACTGATAATGTGCACCACTAAACATGCCAAATTATTAGGTCAATACATGTACCTAATTCGCATTAATTTTTTTGAAAAGCGCCTTAATTAATTGCAATTGTTATTGATCTTTTCAAGTTTGAAGCATTTCTTAGTGCCGTTTCCTTGTTCTTTTCATCCACATGTCTTATTTACGAAGCAATCAAATCAATAAATTTCAAAATAGAATTTATATACTCCTCAGTAGACTGGGGAGTTACGAAATATATTTCAAGAATAATTAGGAATGATTAAGCATTATGTGTTGATAGAAATACATTGTGGAAGAATAGCCGCAGAGAGTAAATCATTGTAAAATCTATTTTTGAAAAAGTGACAACGATTTCCCTTGTATATTGAGAAAACAATGCCATATGTTGATCTTTAGTGAACCCGATCAAGTTATTATTTGACTCAAAATTCATTTATTTCCCAATATTAACTACCAATAAAACCAGCCAGTCGGCAAGCTCAATACTCACCCAGAGACACAAAGGTTAATTCATGAAAAATTGGCCTCGTAGCATTACTAACTTCACTAAACCCTCTATGACCCAATAGAAAAATCAATGATTCCGGAAAGCAAATATAGCAGTACCATAATTTACCTATGCATCCCCTTCGACCCTAATTTTTCTTGTTGCGCTACGATTTCAAATGATATTTCAATACTAACTCTTGCTCAAGTTTTTATATTCCCACGGTGAGTAATAACAAAGATTGCGTAGTATTTCAAAGTTGAACTCTCCACCAAAACTCCCATGTTACGATGTTCCTTTTGAAGGAAAATAGGATTGGAGCATAAAGTTAAAACATTGGTGATGACTTTGGGATCTTACATGGGTACACTGAATTATCTTTGTAAATACTTTTGATCTGATTCCCTATTCAACCATGCTTTCAATGTTCGGATTTCGGCTGTTTTAAGTCCCACTTCAAATAAAACACGAGTTGCTTTTGAACAAGAAAAAGCATATATTCTTCACAGCTTGGAAGTGAAGAAATCAACATTTCTAAGCCCATAGACTAAATCTTGATTTTCTTTTGCGAAATTTAAATTTATAAATCCGCTTTGTACGAGTTGTACAGTGTGCGCCTCTGCATATGTAAAGGGGACTTTGAGGTACCATTAGTAAATGGAATATGTAAGGACATTACTGATGGGGGAGGGAATCGATCCGAGCATAGCCCATTCGAGGAACACTTAATTAGCATATCCTACTGATTAAAATAAATTCCTTTAATACCCAGGATGGTTCTCTGTGGGGAACTTGAGGACACTACAGGAAAAGGAAACCACATTCAATCACACTTCTAATTAACGTATTCTACTGCTTAAAATAAACCACCTGAGGACATACGATGACCCACTATATGAAATTCGAGGGCATCACTGAATTGAACGCCACTATGGGATTGATATAATTAAGTTTCAGAGGTTAGTGATTACTTGGATAAAAATTTTGGTATTCTATTAACTCCATTCCTCAACACAATTTCTTGCTTTACTTCTAATAGGAGTGCTCAAAGTAGAAGAGAAGTGAAGAATCGATTTCGCGCTTTTCCTTGAAATCAGCATTTTACATATCATAGCAGCTACTAGTTAACGCAACTCATTACTAACCTGTTGTTTGATCCAAAGGAAGAGGATTCAGCACTGAAAGTTGGAGGGGCTGAGTGGCGTCGAGAGTCGCTGGCTTCCTCATCAACACTTGTACCATTCGATTTATCTAACGACAAATAGTGAATTTAAAGTATCAAAAAAGTTGTCACGTTGAATTACATTTCACTCACAAATTGGGTTTAACCGCCGTAACTGATGAACTTCTTCTCTTTTCTGAAATGATAGACAAAAAGTATGCTGATTGAAGAAGAAGAAATGGTCACTTCAATGACGCTAATTGGATCGCGGTTATCTTAAGGATGCCTTAGGTGATTGCGAATACCAATGAGACTCTTAGTTTCCTATGAATTATTTAAACTCAAAATTTGTGAAAAAGTCATATTTTATTCCATTCAATGTAGTGCTTTTTCCCTACAATTTTAAACAAGAATATAGTATAGTAGCAGAATACACTTCAAAGCGTATCTTCTTCTGCATTGAAGAGTTTTTGTCAATGAGAATAACTTTCTTATTCAAAATTATTTCCTATTCATTTTGGTTAGAATTGAAATTTGCCCTAATTATACCTCCGTCGATTGCAGCAAGCCAATAATTTTCGAGGTTAAAATATTTTGCTTTAATTAATTTATTTTAAAATCAGAACAAAATATTTGGACATATATTTAATGTCAAAGATATTTGATACTATGTGCTGAAAGATTAAATATTCGCCTTATAATTAAAGTTAATGTCATAGTGGATCACTGCTTTACCAATGATTCGCAAGTGTAGTTTTTAATTGATTTGCGTGGAATAAGGCCTTAATTGGTTAGTTGTAGAATTTACTATTTTGAGCATAATAAAACAATATTAATGAAAGATAACAAGTGATAATTTGACGAAATTGCAGAGCAATAAAAATGTGGAAAAGCAGCCTGGACTTACTTCATCTTTGCAGCGGTGTGGGAACGACGATTCCAACAGGTCAAAGGCGCTTGAAATCCCCTCCTTCTGTTCAAAGTAGGTGCCCACTTCTAAAAAAATCACCAAGTCAAGCCATTTATTTGAAACACTAAAATCAACCACTCGGTATTACACAATAATCCTTCGGCTGAGAAATACACGATATTTGATTGCATTAGTTAAATATGATATCCTTCCCACTGCTATATCATTCACTTCTCTTCATTTCAAATCATCAAAATTTACTGAATCTTTCAAGATTATACTAAGAAAAAAAGTGGCAGTAGAATTTGCAGTTTTAGAAAACTCTTCTGTTTTTGAATTCTTTAATTTCTTTTCATATTTTCTATTTCCATTAATTGGGAAGGAACCGGTATCCACTATCATTATAACTGTAAATAGTTGAACTCGATTACCTTCAGTTCCACGCCCTTGATTAGGGTTGAAGGTGGTGGTTGGAATAAAGGGCTGATTTTGCAAGATTTTTTGCTTTTCATCTTCGCAGAAAACGCTAATATTGCCTTGGTTACAGACCTGTCGATTGAGTTGACCCTACACAATTTTAAGTTGAAAAAATGTCATCTGTGTAATTATCATATATTGATAAAATTTGATTTTGCGCTCTTCATAAAAATGTAACAAGTTGAAACATACATGATCAACTGAAGATTGAAAGTGCTGTAACATGGCATTAACAGTTGAATAGGTAATCTCGCATCTTTGGCATGAATAGAAGAACCTTACGTTGTCCAATTCCTCCTTCGATTTATCATGAAAGGATGTCTTCAACTGATTTCTCTTTGCAACCAGAGCTCCAAATATACCCGCAAGAAAATCATGTCCGGGTAATTGGCAATGGACTCTCATTTTATGCACAGAATATGTGAAGAAATTACAGGGTAGACACCTCAACTGGCAATATACGCTCCCTTTCGAAGTACCGGCAACTGGAAGATGATTAGATTGAAGTGAGATGGCTGAATCGGCACGTTTTCCTTCCCACATATGCAAAAGAAGGCTCAATCTTTGAGCATGTTTCTCTGTCTTGCAATGGAGCTGGAAGTTGGCCTTCAAACGACTTCTGTAAGAACATAACGAACAATGCCAAACTCCAGATGAATGGGAAGTCACTTGCTGATTCGCGAGATCCATATTTATCGGGATTCTATTTTGCTCTGCGTGGGCTATTAAATCCTCCCCATTATCTGTTGAAAATACTCCACAAACTTGGCATAACAAAGAATGATCGGAAACTTCAATTAAAGAACTGATGACATCATCTTGCGGGAAGACTCCACTCTTGACGTTACATACTTCCAGGAAGTAGAAGAAGTTTTGTGGGAGTAAAGTTGTCAATGAGGGGGCATGAATGATCAATTTTGGAGGAAGAATATCACTGGGGACTTTCATGAGTTCTCTATTGTTGGAGTCACGCAGTTTTTGCTGTTGATCGTGCTCCTAAAACATTGATGAAATAAAGTAAAGTCAGCACTCACCTGAACATTGTTTAAATGCCTATCGGACTGTTCGTGAATGGCTAAATTTCCTTTAGTGACGGTCGAATAGTTGCATATCTCACACCGATAGGGCTTATAACCGCAGGAATAAGATTCTCCTCTTCCCAAACGTGGGTGAACAAGTTTAGCCAAACAGTAGACACAGCTTTTGCTGTCCGGTCCAGTTTCTACATTAACAGAGGACTCTGGACTGAACTTCATTGTCAAATTGACCGCAGATGTTGAGTCAGCCAATGGGAAATTCATTCTTTTTTCTTCTCTTCAATTATTTAAAAATTCATTACAATCGATTCTCCACTTCAGACTGTGGGAGGTAATTAGTATTAAGAGTGAATGGTGTTGTTAATAGCCTGGGAAATAAAATACTAACTGTCAGCATCATAATTACTGTTATTAAATTTATTGTTATTTTCAATGTGGAGATACACTAGCAACACGGCAGTGGCAAAACGTTTCGAATCAATTACAACTGTCGTGAAGTGCAATGCGTGAGAGTATTTGGTAATTTAAAAAGTTGCAATTGGGAGTCGGTTTACGTTCGGTTGCTGATCTCAACATATTAATTACCTCAGCTCATTTCTCTTGCACACTTCAACCTACCACCTTGTGATTACAAATCTCACATTAAGTCGTGGTTGCATTTATTTCTACATTTTTTGACATTGGAGGTATGATTGGGTTGATTTTCTTGGTGACTGTGCCACCAACGTTGAATTCGAGTTTTTCACCCGGCAAGCTTCAACATGTTGCAATTCTTCCTAGTAAAGGCACAAGAAAAGCCTTTCTTAAATATATTTTGGAGTCACTCTAAGTTATAAACTCTATTAAGCTGTGGTTTGATGAATTTTTATTTTTTAAGTCCTTCCTGGGAAAAAAGAGATGTGTACTTAATTGGCATGATCAACTGTCCAAATACTTCCAGTGGCCAGCGGACTCCGTCCATTGCAATTCATTATATCCTGAATTTGAAAATTAAATGAACCAGTGTCAATTGATACCAAAATAGCTTGACTATTCACTATGTTTCAATGAAATTGCACTATATAACAACAACTCTTACAAGGTTGCAGTAGATAATTGTCAAAACCCAGTGATAGATCTCTTACCAGAGGAAACTCTTGCATGAAAAAAATTAAAGTTAATGGTTTACGAAACGAAGTCATAAGACTGTCACTAAATTGAAAATATCTAGGAAGATGGAATTCCATTTCTAGCCATATCAGCACTGGGAAGCCCGTAATTGTATCATCTTTCGTAAAAATAAAAGCCAAAAGACGATTTATATAAGAAGAGTGCTATGTTAATGCTAAAAAGAGGATAATGCTAATTGATTGATAGGGTTCGATCAGAGGATATCTAAGCATTTGAAGCCATAACCTTGAAGTTAATGGGTCTTTATTAGTAAATTAGAGTCAAATTTTATAAGGATAAAAAATAAACTCGTGTTTTGCTAATCTTAATAAATTTCTAGTAAATAATGCTTAATCAATTTGAATTAACACTCAGATTATAGCATACCAACGCATTTGGATTGAGAAAACTTCTCCTCAGTATTGTTTAAAACAAAAATTTCGGAACTGTATCATACATGACATATATTGGTTATTGGATTCTAATAAATGTGTGGATAAGAGTTGGTTAATAATCCTGGTTACCCATGATCAGACAAAGAGAAGAAGTGAACAATAGGATCACTCTATTTCAATGAGTTGCAGAGCCAAACTAATCTTTCTTTTATCAGAAGAGGATTATAGAATTTGTTCATTTAATTTAAACACCCCTTCTTAAGAGGCCACCCCTCACATCCCCCCTCCAACTTCCTAGCCTCCAACTTTTTGTGAGGAGGAATAGGGAGAGTTAATTGGCCAGAAAAGAAGGATTTAAATTTGCTTGTTTAGATTTAAACAACGCATCTTATTAGTTTAACGCGAAGTGGAGAAGGAATCCGATTAGAGTGCCCAAAGTCTGTTTGATTGGATAATCGAGTTAACGAAATCTAGATAGGGAAGGGAGGGGGGAATTTAGACGCCATCTCACTATCCCTGTGAACGCTTATATTCCACAAATCTCCGCTCTAACAACACCAGTAATTACATTTAAACACAATGGCAACTAATCACTGCTTGAGGGGGAATTTCGCCTAATTGTTTTGTCCAGTGTACGCGACATCTGAAGGTTAATTTAAGCGAAATTTTCAAGTAATAAATTAGATTACATCAATGATTGTAAAATTTTACTGTTTTGTCCTCAATTTCTCATATTTTTAGCAGAAAAGAGAGATCTCATCGATTACAAGTGAAAGTGGGCTATTTCACGATCCTTTAAATTCAATGAGTAGATTTTTAATTCATGAATGCCTGCTAGATCAAACCGTTCATGAAAATATGAGACAGACCAATCAAGTTATTAATAATAGTTTTATAATTAACAAAAGTGATTGAATACCTCTCGAAGCGAATTTGAAAGGAATTCGATGGTTAAAAGAATTTAAGGACCCGTTTGAGGCGATAATGGTTTGATTTTCAGATTCCAGTCGTTCCTCCTGCTATCAAGGTATCTCTCGCGAGTATTTAAACAGTCAAAGTAAACCCAATGTTTTACGAACTGGCATAGTCAGGAAAGCTTTGAGCCTTTTGGAGTTTGCACGTTTACAACATTTTCCTCAAATTTTGAAAGTTTCAATCTTCAAAGCACGAAACAGACAATAACGATACTCCAATGCAGTCTCCTCTAATAAACTTTCACTGACTCGACTCATTAACGAAACAAAAGTGGTCACAAGGTAAATAAAAAAAATCTTGAAGTTCGCATGCTCAAGAAGTTTATAAATTACAAATACACTAAGAAGTTTAAAATTTACTTAACTACGTTTAAATAGGATAGAATATGGCAGTAAGAAGAGCACCGATAACTGTAATGCAAAATACAAGACAACAGTTTCTAAGATAAAATCTAGCGAATTTGCAAAATCAGCAGGCAAATGATTATGAAAGGATCAAATTTTAGTTAGGACGGTATTATATTCAATTTAGATAACATTTGATTATAATAAGATCATTTAACTTTCAAATAAAGCTTAATTTCACAATCAGGGCGGGCGTATTGACAGAAAAACGAGCCTAAACTCTTTTCATTGACTGAATTAACAACCTATTCATAGGGACGTTCAGACCTAAAGCATATGGAACTTAATTTAGTGATGTTTTTAAAATAATAATCTGTTCATATTGGAAGAAACATTGGTGTAATTAGATAAATCACTACCACAACCATCCACCTAATATCCGCTCTATTACTAATCAAATCTTGAGTCCCATGGGTGCACCACAAACGAATGCAATTAGCTCAATGAAACATCCCTATTTTTTAAGTTTATTTTGCTATTTAGAAGAAATTTGTACTCCTTTAATCCATTATCACTTACTGTGAAGGCAGATTGAGATCGGTAGCAGTTGTTTGACTTCAATTGACGTTAAATTCAATGACTGACAGGTGATGGTGACGATGATACAAGTTTGATTACCTGCCACTATGCGTGCCTGTCAATTGATGTTTTGGACGGAGTAGGGTGGGGTTGGATGGAGAAAGGGGAGGATAATTTGATTTTTCACTTATGTACCTCGTTCTTTGTTTCTGTTATTCCCCATTTGGTAGTAAAAGACGGAAGAAATTGGAATTATGTCGCTAAATCATGTACAACTGTTTAAATAAAAGTGAGTTGACAACACATCCCCTCTTGTCAATTTGATACAATCAGAGCTCTGTTCATTATAATCAAAAGCGTTTTATATAAATTTGAATTAGAAGCAAAATATCCATTTCTATACGCTTGTGTTAACTGTCCTTCAAAAATGTAGAGTTTGTTACCTCAAAAGCCACACACAAAAATTCTGGAGAAAGCAATTCTAAACGTTACTACCCAATCAATCAACAGATAGATCTCAAACTATTTCAAATGACTCAGCGCCTAAAGCAGATATTTCAAGTAGTGGACAAAAAATTGAATTTCGTTGAAGGGATCTGTAATCAGAACCCAATTGAAAAAAATTCAATTAAGAGGTGCTGGAAATTGTCTTTATGACTAACTCTGGAGGCTACTTTACATTTACCTCCATACAATGGTGGAATCTATAGCCCAGTTGTGGTTAGTTTCTAAAAGAATAATCGAAATTCTAAATATATATAAACGAAATCTATTAAAGAATAGAACAGTGATTATTACTAATTCAAATGAATGTTCGTTAATGAAGCAGAAGTGCTTTGCATGAAAATATGTGTAAGAATATTTGGGAGATTACTAAAAACGCTTGTTTGACTTTGAGACTTTTCAAATATTCTTTCCCTGAGACAAATGCATAATGCTACTTTTCTTTCAGTAAATTTCTTTTAGTGTCTAAGTTTTGAATCAATTCACTATTTAGAAGATATTTGTAATTCTTTAATCCATTTGAAATCTAAATCTTCTCTAATTACTAAATCGACTCTAACAAAATATTTGAAACCAACTACTGAGTTATGATCAATAGAGGAGAAGGGTGACACGTATTTAAATCAAGGGCAAAAGTGTCAATGCGTCATTTTTTATCTCCCACTCAAAATCAAAGGGATGTGACATAATCATTACCTGCCAGTTACCTCTATTAGAATTTGTTTTATAACGTGACGGGGAACGAGAAATTGAGAAAGTGCTAACCCTCATTTGATTTAGAACCTAGCTGAGAGGCATTGGAAGAGCTTTTCGAAGATGAAACAATATGGAGAAAGATTAATTAACTCCTAACCAAGCTCAGAAATAGCAGACATGATGGAATCTCCAAGGGTCCTCCACATAGCCTAAGGGTGAACTCGGTTAATCATTCAGCTCACCACCTCATCTCCTAGTCATTTCAAAACAGAAAGTAATTAACAAGACACGCTTTCAAATAAATAGCATACCCCCCCCCCCCCCAACCTCCCCACTAACATCCTCTCATTTTGGTTCTAGTTTCGCGCTTAGATACTGCCCTAGAATTATATGAAGTGATCGGTTTGCAGGTAATTAGGTCGACAGTACGAAATTCTAATTATTGACTTGCGTTCAACTTTAACGTTAGGTGATTTCCCTCCGCCTTTTCCCTAATTACGTCAAAGGTGTCAAACAGTGCACAATTACCCGTCATTAATGTCACAAAATGTAGGTTGCTTTGACTAACTCCTTGTGCGTAAACTTGAACTTGTGACTATGTCAATGCAACTGCATTGTCGTTTCAGTAGTATAAACACAAGACATCACACAAAAAACAAAGTTAATTAGATAAAATAATGAAAAGAAGTTGACAACAAATGAAGACAGGAAAATGGAATAGTTGAAATTCTGTCATCGTCATAAACGAAGTGACATACGGTTGTCAAAAGCTAATTGCAATTAAAAATATCCGATGCTTTTGCAAAGTTCATCAGCCTTCTATTCCATTTGTTCTCCAAACAAATAAACATTTTACAAATGTGGTTCAACTCCCCTTCTCCGAATGTTACAACGCCTACTACTACCATGAGCAAGTCATTAATACCTGTCTCTA